GCACTGTATTTAGTGAGGATCCTTATGAGATGAGTCATACAAGCTCCTGACAAGTCTTAAAATGCATTGTACAGGCTTCATAATGCATTATACCTGCGGTTTTAACTAAAGTGTTACAGACAAGGACAACCCTTACCTCGCCTGCATAGTGTCTCACGCCAAAGTTGTGCACAGCAACGCGTGGCTTCACATAAAATTGGTTTTTCTGTAACATGAGAAAGGATTTGCGTTAGCATCATCGGTATTCACCACATAATGCAATTAGTCACAAAATGCAACTGAGCCAACATTACTTAGAAGATGACAATTGTGTGGATAACATCTCCTACAATGAAGGATCAATGAAATTGACAATAATTGAATTAATTCACATTATTTTCTTTATCATCATTTCAGACTCAGAAACAAAGTCTAATACCTGGGATAGGATAAAGTAATCCTTCTACCCCCCCTTACCCCACCCAAAGAGAAAAAACATATTGTAAAGTGGTTGTCCCACTGGCTATCATAAGGTGAATGCACCAATTTGTAAGTCGCTCTGGATAAGAGCGTCTGCTAAATGACGAAAATGTAAATGTAATCTGCATGCCTATATCCTACATTAGCTATATTGTTGCGTGCAGTAAGTGGGATGAAAAGGTAGTTGAATCAATAAAATCTAAATAAGCCATTTCATTCTAAGAAACTGGAACTATTAAGACAAAAATATGCCCTTTCAAACTCCTTTAAGCATTCTGGATATCTCAAAATATCATAAAACCCATTAATTATATCCAATATACCCTGTAATGCTTTCATAATCCGACCAATAAATCATCAATTTATAGGGATATTTACGAGCTGCGCTCATATTTATTCCAAATAAAAATTCTACTCAGCGTTTCTTTACATCCACTGGTGAGATCAGAGCTTAAATTAAACCAAGCTGTAATAGCACTGGGTGCTAACGCTATGAATGTAGCGGAGGGCAGCTTGCAGCTTGCCCCAAAATTAGCTAACAGGGAGCTAGCTAGCCAGGCCTCTGCTAAGAACAGATGTTAGACACATACAAAAATGGCCTAGCTGCAGCAATTACCATCTTCTTTAATGTACTGTGCTATGAAAAGCATAAACCAACCACATGGTTCCTGATATCGATAGCAATAAGCTCCAATGCAAAACCACACAGTCAGAAAGGTTAGTGCAGAGTTTCACAGTCCCTGATGTGAAATTTATAATACTAAGGTAATGTGGCATATCCAATGTTTGGCTATACATAAAAAAGTAGCCACCCTCTCTGAAAGTATGTTGTATGTTTTTGCAGTGTGTTGGAAAACTCCATCTAGGGTAACAGTTGCTTCTGCCACATTGCTATCACCTACAATCCTTTCAAATCAGCGAGGAAAAGCGACATGGGGGTCTTCAATATATACACAAAGCTGTTCGAATACTTTAGAGATGAATCCTTCCTCCCTTCCTTCAAGTAATCATATATCAGGGATTGTTTCCACCAATCCAACTTGATCAGATCAGATTACCTTACGGATGGAAAGAAAGGAGGATAGAAGGATGGATAGATGGATGGATGGATGGATGGATGGATGGACAGACAGACAGATGTGTGGGTATCAGAATGCGTCGCTGAAGTATTTCAACAGGCCCACTAAAGCTATCGACTGGTGATGTCATAACAATGCGACTTGACTCACCGAGTGCTGGCTGTGGAGTTTCTCCAGTAGTGTGCCGTCAGTGGCTTTGGGGAAATGACTCTCCTCGTTCATCAGTGCCAGGAGACCAAGTTTCTGTGAAGAACACAGACAGATATTATCATAACCATTCCTCTGTTAAGCCAACAGTCCGAAACAGTATATGTTTTTCCTGCCAACTTTAATCAATGGATTTACAACATATTTATATCTATAGAAATAAATGTATTTTTATATCTAGAAATGATTATTTCTGGTAGTTCAAGACCACTCAGCATTTGTCTGGATAACCTTGTCTCCAGGTCAAAGGGGTTTCACATTATAACAGCAAGAATGGCATTGCACTGAGCTAGCCATTGGTTCCCAATTGAAGGGGACTGCAGTTCCAAAGGGTTGCAGTTGCGCTTACAAGCAGCGTACATCAGGCTGCTAGAGTCAAAGTTCAAATGATTTACATTTTACAATGCTCCTGCGCCCAACCTTGTGGCAGGCATTGCGCCTTATAGCCAAAATATGAAACCCCATTCACAAGTGTAAATTCTAGCAGTGTCAACATGAGAAAAATCCCATTGAAGTGGGGATGACAAAGACATACCTTCTCAATCAGATCCAAACATTCACCGTTGTCCATCCAGTTGATGTCCTCCCATACAAGCCCTTCCCTGATGGAGCAAGAAAAGATAAGTGTGACACTCTGGCTCCACGGACCTTTATTCTTGAGCCAGGGTTGTTCATGTTCATTTGTTTTGGGTGTATTTCTATGTGGGGGTGTCTAGGTTGTTGTATTTCTATGTTGGGTGATTGTGCGTGTTTGTATTCATTGACTCCCAATCGGAGGTAACGAGTGTCAGCTGTTCGGCTCGTTATCTCTGATTGGGAGCCATATTTAAGATGTAGGTTTCTGGTGTTAGTGGTGGGTTATTGTTCCAAATGTTCTATGTTCAGTCTGTGTACTGAGGACGTCACGGTTCGTGTTTTGTTTTGTCGTGTGTTTCTTTATCAAATTAAAGTCATGTTCACTCGCTACGCTGCGCATTGGTTTCATCCTTACAACCGCCGTGACAGAATAACCCACCACAAGAGGACCAAGCGGCGTAACAAGCAGGGTGTCCAGGAGCCGACGCCCTTTCCAACTTTAGCGGATATCCACTTCAACTGGGTCAAGCCGCGTGAGGAGGAGAGAGGTTGGACTTGGGAGCAGAGGATGGAGAGTCTGGAGAGTCTGGCGAGGAAGATAGATGCCTGGTCCACGGGGAGGAGAGACCCCCAGAAAATTTTTTGGGGGGGGCTCACGACGTCGGGGCAGAAGGTGTACGGCCCGGAGGAGTGCAAGAGGTTGGCAGATATGGCCGCCAGTACAAGGGGGCTACTGGGTAAAGCAGGGAAGGAAAGTGTTGAGGCACGGCATGAGGTACTGGGGTGTGTAACCAGTTCGGTCCGGCCCGTTCCTAGTCCCGAGGTGCAGCCAGTAGTGTGTGTTCCCCGTACGGTACGGCCTGTTCCGGCCCCTCGCACTAAGTGTACGGTGCGCGTCGCCAGCCCGGTTCAGCCTGTCCCTGCACCACGTAGGAGGGATACGGTGCGCTTCGCCAGCCCAGCCCGGCCTGTTCCTACTCCACGCACCAGGGATACGGTGCGCTTCGCCAGCCCGGCCCGGCCTGTTCCGGCCACCCGCACCAGGGAGACGGTGCGCGTCGCCAGCCCAGCCCGGCCTGTTCCTGCTCCCCGCACTAGGCCTTATGAGAGTCCCCAGGGTCCAGCATGCCCTGTTCCGGCTCTCCGCACTAGCCCTTATGTGCGTCCCCAGGGTCCAGCATACCCTGTTGCTGCTTCCCGCACTAGCCCTGAGATGCGTGTCCTCAGCCCGGTACCTCCAGTGCCGGCACCACGCATCAGGCCTACGGTGCATCCCCAGGGCCAAGCATGCCCTGTTGCTTCTCCCCGCACTAGCCCTGAGATGCGTGTCCTCAGCCCGGTACCTCCTGTTCCGGCACCACGCACCAGGCCTACGATGCGCCTCAGACGGCCAGAGTCTGCCGTCTGCCCAACGGGGCCTGAACTGTCCGTCTGCCCAACGCCGTCTGAACTGCCCGTCTGCCCAACGGCGCCTGAACTGCCCGTCTGCCCAACGCCGTCTGAACTGCCCGTCTGCCCAACGGCGCCTGAACTGCCCGTCTGCCAAGCGCCGCAGGGGCTGCCCGTCTGCCATGAGCCTGCAAAGCCGCCCGTCTGCCATGAGCCTACAGAGCCGTCCGCCAGACCGGAGCCGCTAGAGCTCTCCGCCAGACAGGAGCAGCCAGAGCCTTCCGCCAGACAGGATCAGCCAGAGCCTTCCGCCAGACAGGATCAGCCAGAGCCTTCCGCCAGACAGGATCAGCCAGAGCCTTCCGCCAGACAGGATCAGCCAGATCCTTCTGCCAGACAGGATCCGCCAGAGCCAGCCAGCCAGGATCCGCCATTCAGTCTGGTGCTGCCCCTCAGTCAGGTACTGTCCCTTAGTCCGGTGCTGCCCCTTAGTCCGGTGCCGCCCCTTAATCCAGTGGGGTTTAGTTGGGGGGTGGTCATGAGGAAGGGTAGACTAAAGCGGAGAGTGACTAAGGTGGAGTGGGGACCACGACCTGGGCCAGAGCCGCCACCAGGGACAGACGCCCACCCAGACCCTCCCCTAGACTGTATGCTGGTGCGCCCGGAGGTCGCACCTTTAGGGGGGGGTAATGTGACACTCTGGCTCCACGGACCTTTATTCTTGAGCCAGGGTTGTTCATGTTCATTTGTTTTGGGTGTATTTCTATGTGGGGGTGTCTAGGTTGTTGTATTTCTATGTTGGGTGATTGTGCGTGTTTGTATTCATTGACTCCCAATCGGAGGTAACGAGTGTCAGCTGTTCGGCTCGTTATCTCTGATTGGGAGCCATATTTAAGATGTAGGTTTCTGGTGTTAGTGGTGGGTTATTGTTCCAAATGTTCTATGTTCAGTCTGTGTACTGAGGACGTCACGGTTCGTGTTTTGTTTTGTCGTGTGTTTCTTTATCAAATTAAAGTCATGTTCACTCGCTACGCTGCGCATTGGTTTCATCCTTACAACCGCCGTGACAATAAGCCAATCATATTGAAATTGAAGTTAACCGGTAACAATTTATAATAACCTTCACGAATAAGCTCTTATTTTTGAATGCTTTATAAATTAGCATACTTGTTAAACATTCTGATGAATTGTATATAGAATACATATTTCTAAAAATTATAAAGTGTTACAGTTAACCATTTTTTAAAAACCAATCTAAGTCTACTGTGAAAGTGCATGTTTGAGGTCTACTCACTTGTTGTATTCAAGTTGCTCCAGTGAGAAGATGTGCTTGTTGAAGTATTCCTGAAGTTTCTCGTTTGCATAGTTAATGTTGAACTGCTCAAAGCGGTTGACCTGTCAGAGAGATAGATCCATGTAAGACTCACATACTAAAGATTGACAATTGCTTGGTAGGGGGGTCATGGGGTACATCCCCCAAGTGATTTTTTTGTAATGGTTTGCTCCTGATGATTTTTCCAACAGGGTTTCATGTTGTAACAATAGAAAGGTACAACATGAAACTCTACTTAAAAGTGTTCTTATAATAACTTGGTGGGTGCTTAGATTTGTCCTATTTCACACATGTAACAAGGGTGTATTAACAATGTGTGTGAATTGGACATTTGTTTTTTGCATACCCCAACTCCCCCTGGGAGTGGTGTCACGGCCAGGTCTGCCATTATCAACTGCGAACCTGGAGCAATTAGGGTTAAGTGCCTTGCTCAAGGGCACATCGAAAGATTTTCACATTATCAGCTCAGGGATTTGAACTAGCAACCTTTCGGTTACTGGCCCAACACTCTAACCGCTAGGCTACCTGCATTTTTCTTCCACCCAGCTCTAATTACTTCCCTCTGTTAAAACAGCCAGAACGTTTGTAAATCTGCAGCTGTATTCACAAAGCAAATCAGAGTAGGAGTACTGATCTAGGATCAGTTCCGACCTCTCATGCATTATGATTTAAAAGGCAAAACTGATCTTAAAACAGCACTCCTCCTCTAAGACGTTTTGTAAATGCAGGGCCTGGCTGCTAGGATCCTATAGGGAACACTAAGATCATAGATATCATAATGAATGTGCAAATCTGCTACTTAAGTTTGAGAGTTAACTAGGTCATGATAAACACCTGTTGCCCTTGAGGGTGAACTGTCTCATGGATGACTGATAGCTGATTTGAACTAATGAGTTCAGCTCAGGCACTTTCATTTGGCTGAATTTGCTGGAGGCCATTTTTATTCATTACTGATGGTGACAGCCGATATGAGAAATCAACATTAAGATAAACGTACATCATTGCTTGTGTTCAGTGAATTTGCTGACTAAGACATATGTTGCTCACAATAAAAAAAAACGAAACATAAGACATGATCATTTAGAAAATGTATCAAAAAGGCAAGTGATGCAGACATTATACCTTGTACCCCCAAAATTGTTTTTTTCCAACCAACCAACCTCGAAATTCTCAAATCCAAATATGTCTAGGATGCCAATGGATTTGAAGTCCTCTTTCCCCCGGATACGGTTGTTGAGTTTCCGGATGATCCAGGTGAAACACTGGGAATAAAGTGCCATCGCCATGGAGTCCCTGGAATCCACCGCCTGGGAAAAAGGAAATGACATCTCAGTTTTACAAAAAGGAAGCTGCCTGTTCTCGTTCAAGTAAAATAGGAATATAAATTACTCTGGATGACCTTTAAATTGACTATCCCTTGGTGTAACCATTAATTAATTTATACCGTGGCTGGGATTCAAACACAAGCAGATAAGCAACTTGTGCTTTGCAATAGGCTTTTAAAGGTGACTTCCACAATCTGTTTCTGCTTTTTCTGATTGCAAAATACCTACACTTGGGATAGGGAGGTGTGCTCCTTTCTGTCAAATGTAGTCATTTCTGGAAACACTTTCTGTCCATTTAGGGGACCCTTTTGACTCAAGAGCACCCCCAGAGGCAAAGGTTCTGTATAGAGGCCAGTTTAAATAGTCTACATATGATCACCTACATAAGCCAAGTTATTAAAGGTAGACTCAGTGATATGACGTAGATGCAGAAAGTAAACAGCATTTCCGCCAAGAGCGTTGAAGCGTGAGGCTTTGACGCTGATTCAGCAGATATGGTCAGCAGGTAAACAGGAGACACAACTTGAGCCAGACTGGATTACCACAAGTAGACCATCGCCCGCCTGACCAAAAAGGTAGACTCAGCGAAGTGACACAGCCACAAGCAGCACCGCAGATATTGAGATGAGAGAGATGCAAGACTTCGCTCTCACACAGTCACATACACAGTATCTGTGCATGTGTACGGGCCAGGGCACCAAACAGCGAACCCGTGCAAATGCACAGATACTGTGAGTGTGACTGTGTGAGAGCGAAGTCTTGCATCTCGCTCATCTCAATATCTGCGGTGCTGCTTGTGGCAATGTAATTTGCATTAATCCAGTCTGGCACGAGTTGTGTCTCCTGTTTATCTGCTGACCATATCTGCTGAATCAGCATCAAATGTGATTAGCCTGGTCAGCTACACTCCCAGCTTTAGAGATGAAATCAGACACATACGGGCACATGATGGGGTTGGGGTTCATTAGGCACCAAATGCAAGACAACTAAGTGAAACAGGGAGGGAGTAAACTGTATTTCATGTTTTCTTTTGCAAACATTTTAAAAACGTTTTAAGTTTAGTGCCTAATGAACACAACCTAGGTCACGCAAGGGGAAATGGTTCAGGGTCAGTGGCCAATACACACCCTGCCTTCAAAAGCTGACAACAACAACAGCGGTCGCACCATAACAGTAAGAGACAATGAATGCTTTGTTTTGTCTAGCAGGACCTATTTAAACAAGGTAGAGATAAGCCATGATTGACTTTGAAACAAAGTATTTTTTCACAAAGTTGGTGGCTAACCTCACAGTTGGGCAGGCGCCATTGACTATGAAACACCAGCCCTAAATGTTTCCCTTTGGCATAACACATGCCCCTGGTCTATCTATCTGCCCTAAACCCCAGTCAGGCGTCAATGTCAGGTGTTGACCATGTGGTCAAATATTTGTGTGTCGTGGGACTAGTGTCGCAAAGGAGTGAAGCCACCACCTGATGTAAAACAATGGGGTCAACTGGTGTCCTCTGTCATCATGGTTACCTGTTCCACGGTGAGCGGCGTGCAGATCTCCTCACCCCTTAGGATCATGGACTTGTGGGTCAGTACCTCGGCCAGTTGTTCTGAGTTCAGTCCCAGGAGGTCCGCTGTCCTGCCCAGTGCTACAGACACACAGACAGTGGTATTTTAGAAAGGGAGGTGGGGGTGTAATAGGTACTGTACAATATATCTCCTTTGCTGTGTTGTCATCATGTCAGTCTATGACCCTCTAGATCAGTGGTCACCAACTGATCGATCTTCAAGGCATTCCTAGTTGATCACCAAACATTTCTGTAGAAAAGCCAACGATAAAGACTCCTTTTTATTATTATTATTCATGTTGCGCTGTTGGCGGTAAGTGCACTTGATAATGAAGCCATGCTCATCGGGTAGTCAAAGTGTTCCCATTTTAAACCATTTAATTTGTCTGAAAAAACAAGCTTCGCCTACCCGGCGGACCGGGAGATCTGTGGCTAAATCAAGTGAGCCTACTGCGCTGGCCAATCGGATAGCTCAAATCACCGTGCCTACAGCTTCCATGACCCCGGCCACAGCAAAGTTTGATACTAGCCTACGTGAGATTTCATTACTTTTAAAACCATGACCAGAGAGCGACTGTCAAAGAATACAGCAAAGAGCTGCTGTTTTTATGAGTGAATTCTAAGTTTGTATTCAACACTATTGCAAAACATAAAACGCGATTCTCCCTACTTCCACTGGCGCTGCAGCTGCAATGACTGAGTAGCAAGTGTATAGATCGCCCTGCATTTGTATTATTTTTAGCAGCTCGTCGTGTGCATGAGGCAGATGAGTCCAACTCGAGTTTCGCCACCAGGTCCCCTCTCTCTGTTCAGTCTCGGGAGGAAAGGATGGAGAGAGCTGGGACCATGAATGGCGGACCCTCTGCTTCTCTCTCCCTCCCTCCACTGAGACTAATGCCATGTTCAAAACAACTGGGAACTCGGAAATCTCCGACTTCAGCGTGTTCAAGACAACTGGGAACTCTGAAGAAAACAAGATCCGACTGGGAAAATAGTTTTGAACGGTCATCCAACTCGGAATTCCAAGTCGGAAACTCAGGAATCTTTCTAGAGCTCCGACTTTCTGACCTGAAGATCACTGACGTCATGATTTGACCTTGTGTCTTTTCCGAGTTCCCAGTTGTCTTGAAAGCACCATGACCATCAGATGCAGGTACCATCAGTCCAGTAAAATAAAAAAGGCAATTATTTACAAATTATTTCAATTTATGCTCAGTTGTGCCTCGAGTTTTTAAATATAATATGGTCTGAGAATAACAATATTGGCAGGCCAGGCATATAGCCAATATGCTGTGATAATGTATTAGGCCTACTGCACAAACCTCATTCCTACAGAAAAGTTTTTATTGGGCTAATGTTATATTTCTTATATCATGTTTTTAAAAATTATCTGAGTCTGAGATCTTATTTGACTGCGAAAGTGATCTTCAAAGTGACCACTGCTCTAGTTTCATAATGTGATTAAATCAAGGTTATTTCTAAACACCAATCTTTAAATCAAGGTTATTTCTAAACACCAATCTTGTTATGACAGTTGAGGTTGATATACGAGTGTGTTCATTACATATCACATTTCACTAGGCAGAATATTATTGTTTAGCTGAGGCAAAAGGTTAAGGTAACCCTAGCGCTAAGGTATAGGGGACAACAAATCTCAGTGCAGTTGTTAAACTTGGACAACCCAGGACTAGGATAAGGATAGGGAGCATCTCAAGTAAAGTAGCATGTCATAGGTAGTACCTCAAGGAAAAGGGGGAGCGTGAGGAGGAGAGGAAGGAGAGAAGAGACGAGAGACATTAACCTGTTTTGGAAGAGACCTGAGCTCCTCCGGCCGTCATGAACTCGATATTCCCGGCATGAAGAATTCCCGCCAGGAGCCGAAGGATCTCCCGGATATTCTCCTCTGTGAACTGCATGGTCCGCATTGCATTCTGGGATGGAAAACCCCACAAATGGACAGAATGTTGATGCCGCCAAAAAAGGAGGTTGTGCCCCCAAGAAAAAACAAACAAACAAATTAAATAACTCAATATCTCCTAGATTTCCTGTATCTTCAATCTGTCTAGACATGAAACCATTTAATTCAATTCATTACCATATCCCTGTACAAACCAAGCAAAGTTGAATCCAGACCACTATAAGTGGAATCTGGTGCTTTAGTGTCTCTATGGTATGAGCTGCAGCTGTAGATGTCACAGATCCCCCCGGTACTGCTGCTCATTCCGTTCACCAGTTCCGGAGGTCTACGTCACCGGCCTTCTAGGCGTCACTGACATGGATCATTACCACCAACCCCGGACTGTCTTGTCTCATTACGCACACCTGTTCCCCTTCCCCCTGATTAGTTTGTGTATATATGCGCCCTCTGTTCCCCATTGTCCTTGTCGATTATTGTCGCATGTCCGTTGGTCTCGTGAGTACCGTGTATTGTGCTCTTGGTATTACGGGTCTCGTCCGTGTATGTATTTAGAGGTTTACACCTCGCTCTTTTGTTAGGGTTACAGCCCTGTGTTATATATATACGTGTTTGTTTTGGGCTTCGTACCCGTCGTTTGTTATGACGTACATGGTGTTGGGTGATAAAACCCCTAATACGTATTCCTGCGCCCGTCTTCCTATCATTATACAACGTGACAGAATAATCAACCTCCAAATGGAGACAGCGGGAAAGGCCAAGCTGGCGACCATCGTAGAGACAGTCTAGCATCACAAGGTCTGTTTTTCCAGACTCGGCAGCGCCATGGACAGCGTGTTGGCAACCATCCTGCGTTTGGAGGGGAATGTGCAGTTCCTCCAGTCTCCAGCACCGGTTCCGGCACCAGTCCCCACACAACCACTACCTGCCTCCGGCCCATCTGAGCCGGTCAGTGGAATACTCCTGTCCCTCCCGGAACGCTTTGACGGCGCGCCAGCGAGATGCAAGGGATTCCTTCTGCAATGCGACCTGTACCTCACTCGCTACGTCAAGGCTGTCTCCGCAGCGGACTGCTGGAGGAGGTACAGATGGAGTTAGCTTGCCGTGATGACAACCTGTCACTCGACCAGCTCATCAGCATGGCGATCCGGTTGGACAACCTCCTGCGGTCCTGACGAAAACCTGCACAGAATCCGTAGCCCATGGCTACACCTGCTCCGTGGTCAGAGCCGATGGAAGTGGGCTCTGCACGTTTGACCGAGGCAGAGCGTAGGAGAGGGAGGAATCTGGGCCTCTGCTCCTATTGTGGAGAAAGGGGTCATTCCTCCCCAACCTGCCCTCTATCCACTAATAGGCGAGGAGGTGACAAGCCAGGGAATTCCCTTGCTCCAACCGAGATAGGATGCAAGACCTCCTCTCCTTTTCTGTCAGCTCAACCAGTGTGTTTTTCCCATTCAATTCCCTGAATACCCTAGCCCTTCATTCCAGTTAGCTCTGATTGATTCCGGAGCTGCCAGCAATCTTTTAGATAGCGCACTGGCCACTGTATTACGCATTCCTTTGGTTCCCATTCCGGTTCGTGCCCTGGATAATCGTCCAGTAGGGACTGGGCTCGTACATCACATCACTGTTCCCGTTTCTCTGCTGACCCATGACACTCATTTAGAACAGATCACCTTTTTGATTATAGACACCCCCATGCACCCCGTTGTTTTAGGTCTCCCCTGGTTGAGTTGGTATAACCCTGTTATTTCCTGGTCTGATAGGAGCTGGGTTGGTCGCAGGAGTGTCAGGGGAGGTGTCTCGCGGTGTCTGTCAACGCCACTAAGGTGGAATGTCCGGACCATGCCACTCAAGTGGATTTACCGGAGGAATACCAGGATCTGCACTGGGTTCTCTCTAAGACCCAGGCTACACACCTGCCTCCTCATTGCCCCTGGGACTGTGCCATTGACCTGCTGTTTGACGCAGCCCTTCCGAGAGGACACGTCTATCCCCTCTCCTGTGCGGAGACCGAGGCCATGGAGACCTACGTACAGGAGAGCCTCCAGCAGGGCTTTATCCGCCCCTCTACGTCACCAGCCTCCTCAAGTTCATTTTTTGTTCAGAAGAAAGATGGGGGACTGCACCCCTGCATTGATTATTGAACACTGAATAAAGCCACCATTATCTTCAGCTATCCTTTACCCCTCATCCTAACCATCATCGAACAAATGCACGGGGCGCAGTACTTCACGAAACTGGACTTGAGGAGCGCCTACAATCTGGTGTGCATTCGTGCAGGCGACGAATGGAAAGCAGCCTTGCATCTCGTAATGCCTTTTGGCCTGTCTAATGCTCCTTCAGTCTTCCAGGCCTTTATTAACGAAGTGTTTCGGGACATGCTGGGATGGGACGTAGCGGTTTATATAAGCTCCTTCTCCTGCCGGTTCCACAATGACCCTTGTCTCACCTCTCTGTGGACTTTGTTACTGACCTTCCCCCCTCCCAGGGGAACACCACCGTTCTCGTCGTTGTGAACCGGTTTTCCAAAGCTTGTCGCCTCCTTTCTCTGCCTGGGCTCCCGTCGGCGATGCAAACTGCGGAGGCTCTTTTTACGCACGTCTTCCGGTACTATGGGATCCCGGAGGACATTGTGTCAGATCGTGGCCCTCAGTTCACCTCACGCGTATGGAAGGTGTTCTTGGAACGCCTGGGGGTCCCGGTCAGTCTCACCTCCGGGTACCGTCCTCAAGCTAATGGGCAGGTGGAGAGGGTCAATCAGGAGGTGGGCAGGTTCCTGAGGTGTTACTGTCATGACCGGCCAGGGGAAGTGGGCGGATTTTCTACCTTGGGTTGAGTATGTGCAGAATCCCTCCGCCACTCCTCCACTAACCTCACTCCTTTCCAGTGCGTGTTGGGGTATCAGCCGGCCCAGGCACCTTGGCATCCGAGCCACACCGAGGCCACTGTGGTGGCCGAGTGGTTTCGGCACGCTGAGGAGATCTGGAATGCTGCGCACAATCATCTCCAGCAGGCCGTGCGTCGTCACAAGGAACAGGCCGACCGCCACCGCAGTGAGGCTCCTGTTTTCTCTCCAGGCGACCGGGTCTGGCTCTCCAACTGGAACCTGTCCCTCCGCCTGCCCTGCTGGAAGCTGAGCCCACAGTTTGTGGGGCCGTTTAAAGTCCTGAGGAGAATTACTGAGGTAACGTCCCGTTTGCAACTCCCTGTTGACTACTGCATTAACCTGACTTTTCATGTGTCTCACTGAGGCTGGACCCAGTGACGCCCCGCCTCCTCCTCTGGAAATCGAGGGAGGTCTGGCATACTCGGTCCGTGAAGTCCTGGATTCGAGGTGTCGGGCGGGGAATCTCCAGTACCTCATTGACTGGGAGGGGTACGGCCCAGAGGAGCAGTGTTTTGTTCCTGCGGTGGACATCCTGGACACTTCACTGACCAGGGCTTTTCACAGTCGGCGCCCTGACCGATCCGCACCGCGTCCCTATGGTCGTCCCCGAGGCCGATATTGTCTCGCTCATTTCGTTCACCATATTCGGAGGTCTACATCACCAGCCTTCTAGGTGTCATTGACATGGATCATTACCACCAACCTCTGATTGTGTTGTCTCATTACGCACACCTGGTTCCCACATTAGTATGTGTATATATGTGTCCTCTGTTCCCCATTGTCCTTGTCGATTATGTCCCATGTCCGTTGGTCTCGTGAGTATCGTGTATTGTGCTCTTGGTATTACAGGTCTCGTCCTGTGTATGTATATATATACAGTGGGGGAAAAAAGTATTTAGTCAGCCACCAATTGTGCAAGTTCTCCCACTTAAAAAGATGAGAGAGGCCTGTAATTTTCATCATAGGTACACGTCAACTATGACAGACAAATTGAGAAAAGAAAATCCACAAAATCACAATGCAGGATTTTTAATGAATTTATTTGCAAATTATGGTGGAAAATAAGTATTTGGTCACCTACAAACAAGCAAGATTTCTGGCTCTCACAGACCTGTAACTTCTTCTTTAAGAGGCTCCTCTGTCCTCCACTCGTTACCTGTATTAATGGCACCTGTTTGAACTTGTTATCAGTATAAAAGACACCTGTCCACAACCTCAAACAGTCACACTCCAAACTCCACTATGGCCAAGACCAAAGAGCTGTCAAAGGACACCAGAAACACAATTGTAGACCTGCACCAGGCTGGGAAGACTGAATCTGCAATAGGTAAGCAGCTTGGTTTTAAGAAATCAACTGTGGGAGCAATTATTAGGAAATGGAAGACATACAAGACCACTGATAATCTCCCTCGATCTGGGGCTCCACGCAAGATCTCACCCCGTGGGGTCAAAATGATCACAAGAACGGTGAGCAAAAATCCCAGAACCACACGGGGGGACCTAGTGAATGACCTGCAGAGAGCTGGGACCAAAGTAACAAAGCTTACCATCAGTAACACACTACGCCGCCAGGGACTCAAATCCTTCAGTGCCAGACGTGTCCCCCTGCTTAAGCCAGTACATGTCCAGGCCCGTCTGAAGTTTGCTAGAGTGCATTTGGATGATCCAGAAGAGGAATGGGAGAATGTCATATGGTCAGATGAAACCAAAATAGAACTTTTTGGTAAAAACTCAACTCGTCGTGTTTGGAGGACAAAGAATGCTGAGTTGCATCCAAAGAACACCATACCTACTGTGAAGCATGGGGGTGGAAACATCATGCTTTGGGGCTGGTTTTCTGCAAAGGGACCAGGACGACTGATCCGTGTAAAGGAAAGAATGAATGGGGCCATGTATCATGAGATTTTGAGTGAAAACCTCCTTCCATCAGCAAGGGCATTGAAGATGAAACGTGGCTGGGTCTTTCAGCATGACAATGATCCCAAACACACCGCCCGGGCAACGAAGGAGTGGCTTTGTAAAAAGCATTTCAAGGTCCTGGAGTGGCCTAGCCAGTCTCCAGATCTCAACCCCATAGAAAATCTTTGGAGGGAGTTGAAAGTCCGTGTTGCCCAGCGACAGCCCCAAAACATCACTGCTCTAGAGGAGATCTGCATGGAGGAATGGGCCAAAATACCAGCAACAGTGTGTGAAAACCTTGTGAAGACTTACAGAAAACGTTTGACCTGTGTCATTGCCAACAAAGTATTGAGAAACTTTTGTTATTGACCAAATCCTTATTTTCCACCATAATTTGCAAATAAATTCATAAAAAATCCTACAATGTGATTTTCTGGAGATAAAAAATCTCATTTTGTCTGTCATAGTTGACGTGTACCTATGATGAAAATTACAGGCCTCTCTCATCTTTTTAAGTGGGAGAACTTGCACAATTGGTGGCTGACTAAATACTTTTTTCCCCCACTGTACATACGTGTTTGTTTTGGGATTCGTCCCCGTCGTTTGTTATGACGTACCTGGTGTTGGGTGGAGAAATAAACCCCCTAATACGTATTCCTGCGCCCGTCTTCCTATCATTATACAATGTGACAGTAGACCCTGTGGCAATACATGACTGACCAAGGCCTGCTCAGTCCTTCACCGACATTTTCAAATTGTAGTTCCAGTAATGTCAATGTGTACAACAGTTCTGGGCAATAAAAAGTGTACAAACAAAAAAATAAGGTATATTAGCAAAAAAATAAAAACATTTGCTTCAAAGGGGATGTCATCGTCATGGGCATATTTCAGAAATGTATTTAATTCATGGGTTATTGTTAGATGATTGCTAATAAACTTGGTGCTTGGCATCACCCCACAAATGTTCCGTAAAATATGTACAGCTTGCTGCAGCAAGGCATTTTGAAAAGTAACTTTTGAAGGGCCTGAACTGTATCATCAACAATAAACCATTGATAGAGATGGGAGGGCCTTACCAGTACATCCTGAAAAGTGTCTTTGTCGTTGATTGACTTGTCTGCCACACAGCCAGATTGCTTTAGGTAGTAGTAGTTCTCTGGTTGGGAAAAACTGAAGGCCTCTGTCATGGAAAAAAGAAAGACTCAATAATGGGTTAAAAGTGTAATTGATATCATTGTTTTATAACCCAGTGTTTCTCCTAACATTATATAGGAAAACACATTATATCTACATCTATAGCCATGAAACGCCATAAAAAAGACAGACTACGGTTTGCAACTGCACATGGGGACAAACATCGTACTTTTTGGAGAAATGTCCTCTGGTCTGTTGAAACAAAAATAGAACTGTTTGGCCATAATGACCATTGTTGTGTTTAGAGGAAAAAGGGGGGACTTGCAAGCCGAAGAACACCATCCCAACCGTGAAGCACAGGGGTGGCAGCATCATGCCGTGGGGGTGCTTTGCTGCAGGAGGGACTGGTGCACTTCACAAAATAGATGGCATCATGAGGAAGGAAAATTATGTGGATATATTGAAGCAACAGCTCAAGACATCAGTCAGGAAGTTAAAGCTTGGTCGCAAATGGGTCTTCCAAATGGACAATGACCCCAAGCATCCTTCCAGAGTTTTGTGGGCAGAACTGAAAAAATGTGTGCGAGCAAGGAGGCCTACAAACCTGACTCAGTTACACCAGCTCTGTCAGGAGGAATGGGCCAAAATTCACCCAACTTATTGTGGGAAGCTTGTGGAAGTCTACCCGAAACGTTTGACCCAAGTCAAACAATTTAAAGGCAATGCTACCAAATACTAATTGAGTGTATGTAAACTTCTGACCCACTGGGAATGTGATGAAAGAAATAAAAGCTGAAATAAATCATTCTCTCTACTATTATTCTGAAAGTTCACATTCTTAAAATAAAGTGGTGATCCTAACTGACCTAAGACAGGGAATTTTTACTAGGATTAAATGTCAGGAATTGTGAAAAACTGAGTTTAAATGTATTTGGCTAAGGTGTATGTAAACTTCCGACTTCAACTGTAAATACCTATGTAAGAATGCTGTTCATTGACTACAGCTCAGCATTCAACACAATAGTCCCCTCCAAGCTCATCACCAAGCTCAGGAACCTGGGACTGAACACCTGCCTCTGCAACTGGATCCTGGACTTCCCAACGGCCGCCCCCAGGTAGTGAGGGTAGGCAACAACTCATTCGCCAAGCTGACCATCAACATGGGGGCCCCCTCAGAGGTGTGTGCTTAGTCCCCTCCTGTACTCCATGTTCACACATGACTGCGTGGCCGCGCACGACCCCAACACCATCGTCAAGTTTGCTGACAACACGACAGTGGTAGATCATTGACGACGATGAGGCAACCGATAGGGAGGAGGTCAGAGACCTGGTAGTGTGGTGCCAGAATAACAACCTCTCCCTCAACATCAGCAAGACAAAGGAGCTGATCGTGGACTACAGGAAACGGAGGGGCGAGCACGCCCCATCCACATTGATGGGGCTGTAGTGGAGCGGGATTGAGAGCTTCAATTCCTCGGTGTCCACATCACTAAGGAATTAACATGGTCCTCCCACACCCACACAGTTGTGAAGAGGACACTACAGTGCCTCTTCCCCCTCAGGACGCTGAAAAGATTTCGCATGGGCCCTCAGATCCTCAAAAGTTCTACAGCTGCACCATTGAGAGCATCTTGACTGGCTGCATCACCGCTTGCTACGAAAACTGCAAGGCACCCGACCGCAAGGCGCTACAGAGGGTGGTGAGTACGGCCCAGTACATCACTGGGGTCGAGCTCCCTGCCATCCAGGACCTCTATACCAGGCGGTGTCAGAGGAAGGCCCAAAACATTTTCAAAGACTCCAGCCACCCAAGCCATAGACTGTTCTCTCTGCTACCGCACGGCAAGCAGTACCAGTGCACCAAGTCTGGAACCAACAGGACCCAGCTTCTACTTCCAAGCCATAAGACTGCTAAGCTAATTAAATGGCTACTCGGACTACCTGCATTGACCCTTTTTTTGCACTAACTCTCTTGCTCTCTTGCACTGACTATGCACACACACTGGACTCCACACACACACACACACACACACACACACACACACACACACACACACACACACACACACACACACACACGCCACACACAATTTCACACTACCCCTTATATAGCCATGTTATTTTTACTTGTTATTGTTATTCACTGTGTATTTATTCCTCGTGTCACTATTTCATTTTTATTTTATTTTATTTAATAATTTAATAATCTTTAACTCTGCATTGTTGGAAAAAGACCCATAAGTAAGTATTTACTTGTGAGTCTACACTGGTTGTTTACGAAGCATGTGACAAATTAAATGTTATTAGATTTTTAGATTTGATTTAGGCGAGACGGGCCACCAGATCTTATAGAGTTTGGCTATTATTGGTTTCAATGTTCAGTTTCGATGCTAAAGTGGGCTTGGATCTTGCTTTGGGGGCCTTTTAGCCCCATGTAGAAAATAAACTATGAGATAGCTACACCCTTCTGTTATGTTTTGGTTTGCCCCATGTATCATATTGTTACTCACCCCTCTGTTCTGCATTGGTTCCAGCCAGCAGTGCATAGAAGATGTGGTAGTTCCTTTCCCCTGGATTCTGCCTAACAACTCGATTCTGATAGGGCAGAGGACACAACCATCACCGCACACCTCCAACACATTGCAACACAATTACATTGTAGAGAGGTGGGAGGGAGGGAGAGAGAGACCGACCGACCGACAGCCAGAGAAAGACAGAGGGAGAGAGAGAGGGGATAGAGGGGAGGGAAAGATTGAGAGAGAGAGCAACAGAGAGAGAGAAAGAGACAGAGAGAGAGAATCTTTACCTTCTCTAGGAGGTCTTTGCGCAGAAAGGTGGCAGTTAAGGCACATATTACCTTGAGAAAGTTGGATGCTCCACATTGAGGTTCATGTAAAACAATTATCTGGTTTTTAGAAAGAGAGAAAGAAGAGGGGAAGATAACGGAGAGAGAAAGACAGAAAGGAGAGAGGGAGAGTGACACGTCAAAGTGGGTGAATAAAGAGGAGGAAAAATAGAGACAGAGAGAGAGAGAAAGCAGGTTTCTATCTCTACACCTAGTCATTGATTGTCCCATTCTCTAACACACCAGAACAGAGATCGTCATACATCTGAAACTAGAACAGCGACACTGCACACTAAACCCACACATCACCTAAACCTTTCACTGAAGAGTGCTTGGCAGCAGTTTGGAGCATTTCCTATAGGAACTTGGACAGGATGTGTAGAAAACATAATTCCGTCCACACTATGGGCATTAATAGCGTAGTAAAGGATACAGTCCACGATTTTACCGCCTTGGATGTTGCCCTTCTGACAGAAGTGCAGTTGAACAAACTTCCCAAAGCGGCTAGAGTTGTTGTTGTAGACGGTCTTGGCGTTGCCGAAGGCTTCCATGATTGGGCTAAAGGAGTAGAGAGAGAGAAAGAGAGAGAGAGAGAGAGAGAGAGAGAGAGAGAGAGAGAGAGAGAGAGAGAGAGAGAGACAGAAAGAGATAGATTGTTAAAGTAAGAATATTGGCAGCAAGCTGGAGTTTCTTTTTCATACTCCATGCACCTGAAACTAGATAAGGTTTGCAAACTACTCTCTTTCCAAAAAGTAAACAACTGGAAATGTTTTACAATCTGTACATAAAGTTGGCAGGTGCTGTCCAATAATTCATATCGAGCCAATATAATATTACACTGTCATGGTCAAAACATGTTGATACAACAGTTGCTAAGATGGTGCGAAGTCTGTCCATAATAAAGTGCAGCTCTGCCTTCTGGACACCATTGTCAACAAGGCAGGTCCTACAGGCCCTAGTTTTGTCGCACCTGGACTACTGTTCAGTCGTGTGGTCAGGTGCCAAAAGAGGGACAAAATTGCATTTGGCTCAGAACAGGGCAGCGTGGCTGGCCCTTAAATGTACTCTTCACAAGTCCTTAGCTATGTAAACACAACCTCTCCAAAATAACACTAGTGGTTACACCCAGGGGGGCGTACCTGCTCTCCAGGAGGTCCTCCTCCACGTGGGACGTCCTGTCTGTTGAGGAGAGCTCCAGGGAGTGCTCACTCATAGCCGACAGGAACCTCAGGATCAGCTTGGTGCTCTCTGTCTTTCCCGCTCCGCTCTCTCCGCTGGGGAGGAAAGGAGGAGGAAAGAGTTTGGATGATTTGGATTTATATAGTGTTTTTGTTTAATCTTTCTTTATTCAACGCTGTAGAATGGGACTGGTACATAATGTAAGGCATGTCGAAATGGGAAAGGTGTGATATTGGTTTATATACTTTTGTATAGTTTTGTGTCATGAACACACGTACACACACGCACGCATGCTTGCCCACACATACACACACACGCACGTCAGTGGCGGTCGGTGCCGTTTAACATGAGGGAGGATTATAATTTTTGTAATCAGTATGGCCTTATTTCTATTACAGCATATTGAATGACTGTCATTCATATTCTATTCACCCAGCTCAATGTTACATCGATAGGTTTAGGCTACTACATTATCCTAAATTTTTCCCTGTACCCATCATGAGGTTGCTTCAACCTAGCCTATGAATGAAAGTTTACAACGTAGATGCACAGATCGAGATAATTTTGAGTAATCAAAGTGACAGACAGTGACACATTCAATACCGCCTTGCACACACTTGCCTGCATCTAGCTGATCTAGGGTGCAATCATTAGTCCAACAGTTGCAAATGAGAGCTTCTATTGGACAACTTCAGGTATATTTATCCCGGTTTTGTTCCGTTTGCTTCCGTTTAAGAAACGTTTTTTCAACAGAATCGGAGGAATGAATGCACCCCTGATCACACGCAAACAGTTCACTTCCATACAGCCACATAAAAACAGCATGATCACTTTGCTCGTTGAATATATAATTCCTTCTCGCAACTATCTCCTCCTCTCACCTTTTCTGTTCGCTTGTGGATTTCAGTGCACAACACATCAGCTGTCTGTGACCAGGGAAAAAAACCTTTCCAAGCCAAACCTTCATATCATGACTGCTAACGGCTACACACAGCCTACATCATTGTCACATCATAGTCAACTAGACTACTAGAACTAATGCATTAGTAAACTCGCTACAATTATGCAGTACAGTGTACAGTCAGAAAGCAGTTTAGCGGTTACACCGGCGGGCCCCGGTGGCAATAAATTAATAAAACCAAAAGTTTACCTTGACTTGGAAGAGTTCCAGTGTTGGATAGCCATAGCCAGCTAGTTAACATAACATCCCTCTCTGTTTGAGTCGGGTGTTTGAGTAGGCCAAACTAGCTAGCTGCAAGTGAAAGTAAAAGTAAAATAAAATACAACTCTCTCTCTCTCTCTCTCTCTCTCTCTCTCTCTCTCTCTCTCTCTCTCTCTCTCTCTCTCTCTCTCTCTCTCTCTCTCTCTCTCTCTCTATCTCTCTCTCTCTCTCTCTCTCTCTCTCTCTCTCTCTCTCTCTCTCTCTCTCTCTCTCTCTCTCTCTCTCTCTCTCTCTCTCTCGCTTCTCCTTAATTTAGAAAAAAATAATTTTGTTCAAAACTGTTCAACTATTGTCTTTCTCTCTCTTTGAGTCAACTACTCACCACATGTTATGCACTGCAGTGCTAGCTAGCTGTAGCTTATGCTTTCAGTACTAGATTCATTCTCTGATACTTTGATTGAGTGGACAACATGTCAGTTCATGCTGCAAGAGCTCTGATAGGTTGGAGGACGTCTTCTGGAAGTTGTCATAATTACTGTGTAAGTCTATGTAAGCGGGTGAGAAACATGAGCCTCCTAGGTTTTATATTAAATTAATTGTACCCAGAGGAGGACAGAAGCTAGCTGTCCTCCGGCAACACCATGGTGCTACCCTACAGAGTTCTGTTGAGGCTACTGTAGACCTTCATTGAAAAACAGTGTGTTTTAATCAATTATTTGGTGACATTTAAATATATTTATTATAGTTTTATCTAAAAATGATAACTTTTTTAATGTTTCACTATTTGGATTTTTATGAAATTCACTGAGGAGGATGGTCCTCCGCTTCCTCCTCTGAGGAGCCTCCACTGATGCACACTCACACATGTCCTTGACACCATATCCCTTACATTTTAGTCTCCAGCCTTCAGCTATATAAAGGGTTTCTTGTTTGCATGTCCTTGATTGAGTCTAGCCACAACAATGACGGTGATAATGCATGATAATCCGGATGTGTTTCAAGAATGATTTGCACTCTTCATATGACATTTAAAAACAATGCCTTGCTTGCTTTCGCGTGTGTGTGTGTGTGTGTGTGTGTGTGTGTGTTTGTGTGTGTGTATGTATGTGTTTGCATTTGTGTGAATAAACACATGTTAAAAAATATGGGTCAAATGTAAATTACTAACTTGTGACTAACTGACAAATAGGTTTTGCATTCACGTCCTGACGCTTTTTCCACATTTGAAACATTCTCAACATAGAGGAGATTCACAATTTTACCGCTAGGGGTTTCATTGCACACTACAAAACATACAGTGGCTTGCAAAAGTATTCACCCCCTTGGCATTTTTCCTATTTTGTTGCTTTACAACATGGAATTAAAATTGATTTTTGGGGGGTTTGTATCATTTTATTTACACAACATGCCTACCACTTTGAAGATACCATTTTTTGTTGTTGTGTGAAACAAACAAGAAATAACACATAAAAACAGAAAACTTGAGCGTGCCTAACTATTCACCCCCCCAAAGTCAATATTTTGTAGAGCCACCTTTTGCAGCAATTACAGCTGCAAGTCTCTTGGGGTAAATCTCTATAAGCTTGCCACATCTAATCACTGGGATTTCTGCCCATTCTTCAAGGCAAAACTGCTCCAGCTCCTTCAAGTTGGATGGGTTCCGCTGGTGTACAGCAATCTTTAAGTCACACCACAGACTCTCAATTGGATTAAAGGTCTGGGCTTTGACTAGGCCATTCCAAGACATTAGGGTCATTGTCCTGCTGGAAGGTGAACCTCCGTCCCAGTCTCAAATCTCTGGAAGACTGAAACAGGCTTCCCTCAAGAATGTCCCTGTATTTAGCGCCATCCATCATTCCTTCAATTCTGACCAGTTTCCCAGTCCCTGCCGATGAAAAACATCCCCACAGCATGATGCTGCCACCACCATGCTTCACTGTGGGGATGGTGTTCTCGGGGTGATGAGAGGTGTTGGGTTTGCGCCAGACATAGCATTTTCCTTGATGGCCAAAAAGCTCAATTTTAGTCTTCTTCCATATGTTTGGGGAGTCTCCCACATGCCTTTTGGTGAACACCAAACGTGTTTACTTATTTTTGTCTTTAAGCAATGGCTTTTTTCTGCCAACTCTTCCATAAAGCTCAGCTCTGTGGAGTGTACGGCTTAAAGTGGTCCTATGGACAGATACTCCAATCTCCCCTGTGGAGCTTTGCAGCTCCTTCAGGGTTATCTTTAGTCTCTTTGTTGCCTCTTTGATTAATGCCCTCCTTGCCTGGTCCGTGAGTTTTGGTGGGCGGCCCTCTCTTGGCAGGTTTGTTGTGGTGCCATATTCTTTCAATTTTTTAATAATGGATTTAATGGTGCTCCGTGGGATGTTCAAAGTTTCTGATATTTATTATAACCCAACCCTGATCTGTACTTCTCCACAACTTTGTCCCTGACCTGTTTGGAGAGCTCCTTGGTCTTCACGGTGCCACTTGCTTGGTGGTGCCCCTTGCTTAGTGGTGTTGCAGACTCTGGGGACTTTCAGAACAGGTGTATATATACTGAATCATGTGACACTTAGATTGCACACAGGTGGACTTTATTTAACTAATTATGTGACTTCTGAAGGTAATTGGTTGCACCAGATCTTATTTAGGGGCTTAATAGCAAAGGGGGTGAATACATATGCACGAACCACTTTTCCGTTATTAATTTTTTAGAATTTTTGGAAACAAACAACAATTTCATTTCACTTCACCAATTTGGACTATTTTGTGTATGTCCATTACATGAAATCCAAATAAAAATCCATTTAAATTACAGGTTGTAATGCAACAAAATAGGAAAAACGCCAAGGGGGATGAATACTTTTGCAAGGCACTGTAAGTAAGTAGACTACACTGAGTGTACAAAACACTAAGGACACCTACTCTTTCCATGACATAGACTGACCAGGTGAAAGCTATAATCCCTTATTGATGTCACTTGTTAAATCCACTTCAATCAGGGGTGGAGACAAGTAAAAAAATACATTTTAAGCCTCAAGACAATTAAGACATGGATTGTGTATGTGTGCCATTCAGAGGGAGAATGGGCAAGACAAAATATTTCAGTGCCTTTGAATGGGGTATGGTAGTAGGTGCCAGGCGCACTGGTTTGTGTCAAGAACTGCTACGCTGCTGGGTTGTTCATGCTCAACAGTTTCCCGTGTGTATCAAGAATGGTCCACCACCCAAAGGACATCCAGCCAACTTGACACAACTGTGGGAAGCATTGGAGTCAACATAGGCCAGCATCCCTGTGGAACGCTTTCGACACCTTGTAAAGTCCATGCCCCAACGAATTGAGGCTGGTCTGAGGGCAAAAGGGGGGTGTAACTCAATATTAGGAAGGTGTTCTTAATGTTTTGTACACTCAGTGCATACTGTACTGAACCATTGCTCACCAACCCTACTGGGTGCGCAGGCTTTTGTTCCAGGCCAGCAATAAAAATACCCATCTGGATCTTGATTAACTGAATCAGGCGTATTAGTGCAAGGCTAAAACAAAAGCCTGCACACCCTGAACAAAAAATACTGTGCCGAGAGCAATAGAGTTGCTCTAGAGTTGTTATTACCGGCCACATTTTTTGGTCTAGCTTCATCATATTATAATGTCTATTGAAAAAGATAAATTGGCAGCTCTTACCGTATCACATCATTTCACATTGCGCTCAATGCTATTCATGACAAATACAGTTCCACTATCTCACTGATCACATCTATGTGTTTTGGCTATTCACTCTTATACTTCAAACTGGCCAGTTAAACATTCAAAAGACTGCTTGCATGGTTCCCTTTCAGTCAGTACTCTCGGTACAACACAATTATGGGGAGTCGCTCTCTCGCGACTGACTGAATATCTAAAATCATGCCTGACAAGCCCAAAGAAAATCGTGCCTCGCTGGAAT